ACAACCAACCACTACGAACAGGCATTCAGTCAGTCAGCCATTGCCACCCTCATTTCACAGTTTCAGAGGCTTGTACCCCATTCCTCCACCAAACTCCCACACACATTCACATCCACCATCATTAGTTTGGAGCAGCAAAACAAAACACAACCAAAGGCATGGCAATGGCGGCAACAGCCACCAACCACGTAAAATGAACCACTATTTCAGCTGGTGATGGCAACGTGCTGACGTCGTGTAGCTTGAAAAATAAACCCAAACATTCCATGGCTAGTATAAAATAATGAAGGTCTCCCCCAAATAAATATCACAGCTACCCTCTTGGAAGATGTTCCAACAACTAATGGGCGGGGAGCTCTTCGTAACAATCCCCCCTCTAACCTAACCAAAAATGAAATAGAACTTCTTATGATTCAGATGATGCCCCGCAACAAAGTAGACAAAAAGAAAAAACACGAAAAAACATGAAAGAAAATATACAATCCTGCCACTTGAATAACCAAAACACATACACAATTATAGAAACAATGGATGTAACGGAAAGTGGGGTTATGGTACACGGAGGAAAATTGAAAATTAGAGAAAAAAAACAGACAGCCAAAAGGAAGACTTGGAGGATATCAAAATGGGAGGCTCACATCCAACAAAAATTTTGGACGGACGGAAAGACGGACCCCCAATCTTATTACAGGTGGAAGCTGTTTAAGAGAAGTCTGTAAAGCTTACAAAAGAGAAGTCATTCGACTGCGCCCAAAAGTCATATTTCTAGACGACCAGAATGAAGTATTTCAAGACCAAAATAAAACATGTTTAGTTATTTGAAGTAGATCATACCATCTATCAACATTCGGCTTTAGAGCAGTTATAGTTTGGTTTCAGAGGGAACTAATATATAGCGGGGCATATCCAATTCTAATATATTAAAAAAAATATATCGGAGCCGAGTTCCACAAAATGGAAACGTACATTCCGAAATTCACTCCATTTGGGCTGATATTCGCCATTATTTGCACAATTAACCCGAAATCGGTTTAAGATATATATGGGAGCTATATCCAAATCTTAGCCGATATTGATAAAATTTGGCAATGGTATTTCCGAGCTCTATAAGATATCTGGTATAGAAAATAGGGCTCGCTGTGATCGAAAAATTGCATAGGTACTTTACTCATGCATTTCACAACTGAAATGTTTTCCATGTGTCACACGATGTGTGACTTCTACATATGGTGAATTTGACACCACATATGTAAAACTCTTGTCGTCTGATAGCAGCTGCATTAACCACTCAAACTTCTAGCTCAATACAAGGTTGGTGAGCAGATGATTGCTTGACTGGTTGGTTAGTTGAATAATAATATGAAATATTTGTTTTATTATTTTTTGCCATCTTTTCGATAATCCCATTCCTTCTTCTTTGCCTTGTCAGCCGCCCTCGAATTTTATTTTTCCAAAAATGTTATATATTTTTCTTTGTATATTATATACACATACACCTTCTTTGTTCAAGGATTTGTACGTTCGTGTGTGTATAGCGTACGCATACATAGTTGTAGACAAAAATAATGATGCTTAAATGAAATTGTAAACTCCTCAACTTTAAGGGTCTTCTTTTTCGTACCATTCCTATTTTTCCATCTTAGTCGTGTATCTTCTTTTTTCATCGCCTTCGGGCATTTTGCCTTTCGCCTTGCCTTCAAATGGTAAAATTATTTTTTTAAGGTTTTCATCTTTTGCTTATTTTTTGTTTCTTCATAACTCCCCCAACCACCCTCTTGCTGTCATCTCGATGTCCTTAAAGGATGTCTTTCCTTTCTTACCAGTACCACGAAAAATATAATTTTTAAGGATAGAAAGAAATAAAAAAAAAACGCAATCATCTTACAGAACCGTTATGCTGAACGTCTATCCCCAACTAGAAACGTCTTAGGAAAAAAATACATTATTATTTTTCTTTTGATGAAATGAGGTAATTTCAAAGAGAAGAGGGGGCAGATTTCTATTTAAGGATATTTGCTTTAAAGGCTTAAAGCTTACATAAGAAACGTAAATTATTAGCCTGCGAAATAATATCAGATTTAAGCTTAAAATCCGTAGCTGGTAGAAAAAAACTTAAGGTGAGAATACATAAAACGCTTTTTTGACTTGTTTAAGTCATCGGCTGGAGCATAGGGTCAAAATCGAACTTAGTCAACCTAAAACCGCTTTGTTTTTCTACGAAGAAGCCAGCCGATGACTGAAGCCTGTCAAAAAAGCGTATTATTTCTTCTCACCTTTACTCTTTTCTCTATTATCACACGAAAGAGAAAAAACTTATAGTACGTTATAAGTCACATTAATCGTCATATGCTCTAATGTAAACGTAATATTAGTCTTTAAACATAACCATTGTAGAAGAATACAAGTAGATGCATCAACACCTGGGAAACGTTGATATGTCAAAAAATTATAAATCCTTGTTCGAAAGTAAGTAGATTTATATATGTTTTCCCATACGCGACTCCAATCGGAGGTTGTTATGATATGCATTTTTACAAATTTTAATAGCTTTTCATTCACAAATTACAATTTAAAAATTTGTTTTCTGGGACAATGAACTGTCAAACCAATTTCGAAATTTCAAATTTTTAGTGAAAAATTATTCAAATTTTTAAGAATTGTTGATAAATGCATATTATAGCAACCTCCCATTGGTGTCATATAAGAAAACTCAAAAAAATATACTTATTTAAAAAAAATAAAATTGTTGACATTTCAATGTTTCCAAGCGTTTATGCATCTACCTGTATTCTCCATCATGCCTTGGTGCGTATACGTCGTCGTACAAGAATACACGTAGTTGCATCGACACAGCTGCTGGGACAATGAACTGTCAAACCGATTTTGAAATTGAAATTTTTTAATGAAAAATTATTCAAATTGGTAAAAATATAAATAAAAATCTACTTATATTCGAAAAACATTTTAAAAATTTTAACATATCAATGATCTCAAGCATTGATACATCTACCTGTATTCTTCTACTATGGTAGAATAATATCCACTGGATTTAAGAATATGATTTACGCGAAGTATACGCCATGGTAGAAGAATACAGGTAGTCGCATCGACACAGCTGCTGGGACAATGAACTGTCAAACCAATATTGGAATTAAAAATTTTGAATGAAAAATTATTGAAATTTGTAAAACTTCTTGAAAAAAAAAAACGCTTATATAAATATAAATAAAAATCCACTTATATTTGTAAAAAAAACTTAAAAATTTTTACATATCAAAGTTCCCAAGCATCTACCATGGTATACGTCAAATAATATCCACTGGATTTATGAATACGATATACGTGAAGTATTCGCCATGTAGTCTAAACGTACCTTAAGAAGTTTCTCAAATCAGGTGAAATGTCAAAATTTGTTTACTGTTTGTTTATCTTTCGTACCATGGTAGAAGAATACAGGTTTGATAACATTGATATGTCAAAAAATATATATTTTCTTTCAAATATAAGTAGATTTTTATATGTTTTTTTATACGACACCATTCGGAGGTTATCAAATTATTATTAGGTTATTCAAATTTAAATAATTTTTCATTTAACATTTTCAATTCCGAAATTGGTTTGACAGTTCATAGTCCCAGCAGCTGTGTCGATGCGTCTACCTATATTTTTCTACCATGTTTCGTACTGTAATTCAAACCACAATAAGAGTTTCGACAACTCATCCAGATGATCAGCTGGGGCAAATCCACTACCTATTAAAGCTGCAATCAAGCGATACATTTGTATATATGTGTACTTCCGTGTGTATCTCAAAATTGCAATTTTACATATGACTTATTTTTCTTGCTATCACACACTTGCATATGTTTCTCATTTCCTTTGGAAACATTGTGATTATATTGTATTTTCTAAAAAATATAATTCTTTATGGATGACTTTGTACCTTAAATTTAATTTTCTACATATTAACAATTTGACACTACATATGTAAAACCCTTAATTGTACCATGGGCTATTTATTAGAAATAGCTGATCTCTCTTCCATTTGTCAAAATAGAGAAATGCTATTTTGAATATGAACAAAATATTTCATTAGATTAATATGACATCGCAACCAATAAAACCACAACTTTCTTAGTGTTGTCCGCGGTCTCTGCGTCGGGCGTCAATGAAACGGACTTGTTTCGCAAATTGTGCATCAAAAAAATAAACGAAGATTCAACTATTTTTTTGGGTACACTCACAGCAGTTTTATTTGGTGGTTACAATGTAACATGTTAGAATGAAGTTCGCTGAATGAGTATAGCTTTATTCTCTGTTAACGCTTACAGCATTCTTATCTGATGGTTGCAAAGCAACATGTTAGAATGGAGATCGCTGAATGAGTGATTTATTCAAAATTATTCTTTCTCAGCTTGTTTGAAAAGCGAAACTGTAGCCTAGAACACAGTTATTTAATAACGTAAAAGCTAAGTTGTCTATAATAGTACTAATTCAAATGGAATTCAAGGTTGCATTATTTGTGATTATATATCATGGTAGAAGAATATAGGTAGACGCGTCGACTCAGCTGCTGGGACAATGAACTGTCAAACCAATTTTGGAATTGAAAATGTTGAATGAAAAATTATTTAAATTTGTAAAAATTGTTAAAAACGTGATTTATAATAGCCTCCTAATGACATAGTATAAGAAAACATATAAAAATCTCCTTATATTTGAAAAAACACTTAAATTTTTTTGACATATCAATGCTCACAAGCGTTGATGCATCTACCTGTATTCTTCTGCCATATATTGTAACTAAGGGTATGTTTACATTAGTTTTTGTAACGGATAGATAATGAGAATTAATACGTACATATAAAAAAAATACAACGGGTTGCTTAAAACTTTATTAATCAACTAGGTTTTAATAAAACACGTCAATTATACAAATAATAAATCCAATTGATTTTTTCCTGAATATTTTTTAACATTTGACATTTACTTCATTACAGGTTTGGTTTCAAAATCGTCGCGCCAAATACCGCAAACAAGAAAAGCAATTACAAAAAGCATTGGCACCATCTGTGATCCCCTCATGCAATGGCATGATGAGAAATATCCAAGGCTACAGTGTATCACGTGGCTATCAACCATATCCTCATCATAATTCAATAAATCGTTATCCTCAGGTACTACTTCTTTCATACTGACAATTTTACGTGTCAAGTTCAAGCATATTCAATTTATTAAATCTCAATATTTTTTAGGATCTTTTCCAAATGGGAGCCTCATCATATCCGGGTATGTCACAGCCATTCTCAATGGCGCACGGTACCAATATGGGTTCCGTTGGAGTTCGTCAAGATTCAATGGGTATGTATTGATATTTGATTAAGAGCTTGTTTACACGAGCAGAATCCACCGTTTTATTAATTTTCCTGCTTGTCCAGTAAGGAAAGTAAGTCTATTTTATTTAATTTTGTAAAAGAAGGGTTAAAAGTAAACAGAAAGATTCCCTATAAAAGTCCACAAAAAAATCCGCTGATTCATGAAAAAAAAAACGTTTCTGTAATTTTTTTAAAATTGAAAAATATAATGAGTCAAAAAAGAAGAATTATCCATTTTGAAACTTTGTCCTCCAAAAACAAAACAATTAGGTTTGATTTTTATTTTTATTTTTTGTAAACAATATGTTTTCAGATAGATTAACAAAAATAAATCACCTGATAATCAAAAACAGCTGATTGTCTCAAAAAAAAGGGTTGTCAGAAGAAATTTGTCCCGTAAGAATTTGCAAATTCTCTCAAATGTCTATTCCATAATGCATACGACAAAAATTATCCACTGAATTTATAAATACGATTTACGTGACGTACACGATATGAAATTATAATTTGAAATCGTATGGATCTAGTAATATAAACCATCCTAGAAGAATACAGGTAGTCGTATCGAACTGCTGGGACATTGAACTGTCAAACCAATTTTGAATTAAAAATTTATTCAACCTTGTTTAAATTGTTAAATCATAACAACCTCCAGTTGGTGTACTTTAAGAAAACTTATAAAAATCTGATTTTTTTTAAAAAGAAAAAAAAAAAAAACATTAAAAAAATTAACATATCAATGTCCTGAGGGTGGAAATACATAAAGCGCATATTTGGCTGGCTTCTTCGTAGATGAACAAAGAAGTTTTAGGTTGGCTTAGTTCGATTTCACCTACATTTTCGAAGAAGCAACCGATGACTTAAGCCAGCCAGGTAAGCGCTTTATGAACTCCCACCTTAAGTGTTGATGCATGTACCTTTTTTTACCATGTTCTAAACTTGCTCCAATCCACTCTAAAGGTGAGAACACATAAAACGCTTTTCTGACTGGCTTCTTGGTAGAGGAACAAAGGAGTTTTAGGTTGACTTAGTTCGATTTTGGCCCTATGCTCCTTTGTTCTTTTCCAAAGAAGCCAGCCGATGACTTAAGCCTGTCATAAAGCGTTTTATGTATTTTCACCTTAAATCCCCGAAATACACTATAGTTGTTCACATATATATTTTGCGATGACGTAAAAATATGAGAGAAATTTTGACAGTTGACTCGATGTTGTTAAAGATAAAATTGTTAATGGTTTCTTTGCTAAAAGTACATTAATAATAAAACATTTAAGGCTCTATCAGATGATATGTTTTTTTACATATGTAGTGTCAAATTGTCCATACGTAGAGATTGGACGACATTTCTGTCGGACACCATTCTCATCGGAAAAATGTAATATAATCAAAAGTGTTGCTTGTTTATTCTATTATATTTTTTTATAAAATACAACAATCAAAAAAATAAAATAAAAACATATGCAAGTGTGAGATAGCAAGATTTATGAGTCATATGTAAAATGACAATGTTGACATACACACGGAATTACACATGGATAATAAAAGTGACGGCACATATGTAAAGCCCTTATCGTCCGATAGCAGCTTTCGTCAGATTTTCAATAATACTGTTGGCATTTGGAAATCAGTTAATAATGATTGTGGTCATGCTCATGGCCATGGTCCATTCAATAGGTACTCCAAATAACACAAAAAAAAAGAATTTGCTGCCTTGCCTTTCTTGCAGCTTACCATCCATGGTAGAAGAATACAGGTAGACGCATCGGCACAGCTGATGTGACAGTAAACTTTCAAACCAATTTTGGAACTGAAAATTATGAAATTTTTCGAGTTTGTAAAAATTGTTGTAAAGCGTATATTACAATAACCTCTGATTGACATCGTATAACATATAACAATCTACTTATATTTAAAAAAAAAAAAAAAACATTTTAAATTTTTTGACATATCAATAATGTTCTAAAGCGTTGTTGCATCTACCTGTATTGTTCTACCATGTTACCATCTAGACTTATTGTGATTGGAATCACAGTACAAAAGTTAAATAGAAACAAAATGTAAACAAATTTTGACATTTCGTCTGATCTTGTATAACATGTTATTATTGCGCCATGGCACTCCATTTACGGCAGCTGATCATCCAATGAAATTGCCTCTCAAATCCAATGGATTTCACTTGACTTATGCGCAAGGGAATTGAAATCCATTGGATTTAAGTAGTCTGAACGTCTCAACAAAAAGGGCAATCACTCCCACAAATGGCCACAGTTGCATTTACTTTAGTGCGGGACCCAATAAGACGACAACTCTTCAAATGACATCAGTGAATAAACTAAATATGTACAGATTTGAGATATTATTCATATTTTTCCGAATCACTCTAATACACTGATTCAGGTTAGCTTATCAAACTTTTGCGACGGTAGCTTAAGAAGAAAAAAATTATTGGCTGCTCCTTAAGAAACGGAAATTATGCAATTACTGTGAAGATGTTGTATAACTTATATACATTTCCTATAGTTAAAGGCATGAGAAATACTCACACGAAAGAGAGGAAACGGGGAAGCTGGTAAATTATTACAGGCACCTTTAAGGAGTCTGTCAAGATGTTGGATGGCAAGACAAAAACTATTACACATACCTATATTGGCGAACTTATACATGCATATATATTTTTGCAAGAATATTACTACGACGACGACGAGACCCTAGCAACCCAATATGAGACAGTTAATAACATTGTACGAAGAAGGAGGAAATAAATTGATGTAATCGAAAAAAAAAGAAACAGGAGTCTAAGTAAATATTAAATAAAGAATAAATTAAGAAACTGAAATTAAAGAGGAAATAACAACATAACCGTCCTTAGTAATATATGTATAATAAATCCGGAAATCTTATCATATGGATAGTTAATAACTCATATAATCGCAGGGGGTTATCATGAATTCCAAGAATTTAGGAGCACCAAGGAAACCGACACTAAGCATAAAAAACATGTAACCCATGTGTTCCATTGTCAGATTTATTGTTATGGGTCCAAATAGCAGGGTCAACGATTTGCATGTAAACGTACTTTTATCAAGCGTTAGTGTCATGGCAGAATAATATAGGTAGACTCGTCGACACAGCTGCTGGGACAATGAACTGTCAAACCAATTTTAAATTGAAAATGTTGAATGAAAATTTATTTAAATTTATAAAATTTGTTGAAAAATGCGAATTATAATAACCTCTGAATGTCGTCGTATAAGAAAACATATAAAAATCTACTTATATTTAAAAATTTTTGGCATATCAATGTCCCCAACCGTTGATGCATCTACTTGTATTCTTCTGCCATGGTTAGTGTGGAAATAAATAAAACCCATATTTGGCTGGCTTAAGTCATCGGCTGGCTTCTTCGTAGATGAACAAAGGAGATTTAGATTAACTTAGTTCGATTTTGGCCCTAGGCTCCTTTGTTCATTTCCGAAGAAACCAGCCAAATAAGCGCTTTACGTATTCCCACCTTTATTTACGTAGAGTAGTTTATCATGGTAGAAGAATACAGGTAGTCGCATCGACACAGCTGCTGGAACAATGAACTGTCAAATCAATTTTAAAATTGAAATTTTTGAATGAAAAATTAATGAGATTTGTAAAAAATTGTTGAAAAATGTATATCATAACAACCCCCGATTTGTGTCGTATAAGAAAATATAAAAAAATCTACTTATTTTTGTTAAAACATTTTAAAATATTTGACATATCAATGTCCCCAAGCGTTAATGCATCTACCTGTATTATTTTACCATGCCATGGCCTATCTATTGAGACATCCAATTAGATCAGCTGATTTCATCCCCATTTTCCATGGTAAAAGAATACAGGTAGCTGCATAAACGCTTGGAATATTGATATGTCAACAATTTTTCATCAAAAATAATTAGCATTCATTTCAAATTAGCATTCCCAGCTCTGCATGTTCTGTAATTTACCTTGGATTTTGACAATGAGATGTTGTCAAATGTATAAATTTGAAAAAAGTTGTAAACATATGATTACATGACTTTACCTTCTTAGTTCTACCATGATAGGTAAATTCGTATGTTTTCCTACAGGACGCCAATCGGAGGTTGTTATAATTTGCATTTTTTAATAAATTTGAATAATTTTGATTCAAAAATTGAAATTCCAATTTTTTTTTTGACATTTCATTGTCCCAGCAGCTGTTTCGATGCGGCTATCTGTATTTTTCTTCCATGACGTATACGTTACGTAAATGGTATTCATAAATCTAGTGTATATTCGAATTTGCATTTGAAATCGAGTTGATTTCGTAAATCTAAACATACTTTTATGCAGATAATAGATCATGGTAGAAGAATACAGGTAGATGCAATGGGAACATTGATATGTAAATTTTTTTTTTTTTTTTCAAAACGAAATAGATTTTTATAAGTTTTCTTATACGACGCCTATCGGAGGTTATTATAGTACGTGTTTTTCAACAATTTTTACAAATTGAAATAAATTTTCATTCAACATTTTCAATTCCAAAATTAGTTTGACAGTTCATTCAATATAAATTTTTTCATTCAACATAAATACTTATTTTCTTCTTCTTCCTTTCATTTCAGGCATGTCACCCGAAGATGAATGGTATAACAAAAGTTTATCAGCGTTACGCATGAACAGCTCACATCATCCGAACCTTTCTGCACCAATGCTTCAGTACCAAACATAATCGAAAACATTTGACGATTTCTTTTAAAATGTAAAATATTATTGAAGAACCAGAAGAAGAAGAAGAGAAAAAACCTAACCAAAAAATTTGTTGCGCACATTCAAAGTTACTACCGCTGGACCCACACAACTGAGAATATTTTACAATTTAAAAGAGATGCGTCAATGCCAAAACGGCTATGCCACGAAAAAAAAAATACAGAAGAAGTAAAAGCTTGAATTTTCCTTCGATCAAGCCACAGCAAGAAAATAATATTTATAAATATCCTCAACAAGAAACAAACAAAAACAAAAAAAAAAATACATAAAACTAAGAATTAAAATTTTATTGTTAATAATATCGTAATAGAAGTAATAAAATTAATTATTATTATTATTACAATAATATCTAATCTTAAGACTATGAACAAATTGTAATGTAAAATTTAAAGCAAAAACAAAAAAAAAACACAAAAACTTTGTAACTTCAATAGCATTCAAAAGTTGTTTCCTAAACAAAATAATATTTCACAACAACTCTCTTCTAAACTCTTAAGAAAAACATGTAATTATTATTTTTGTAAATATTTTAATGTTTCTATATCACAACAACAACAAAAAACGAAAGAAAAACAAAAACACATCTGTAGTAGTAATGGACCCCAATGGTGAATACAACCATGGCAGTGTAAACAACATTGCATTACCATGAGATCACTGCTGCAGACTGCATCTAAATTGGTACAATAGCTACAAAATGGAACTGTAACATTGTGACACCAGTGATCCAAGGGAAATGCAAATGTCAATATTTTGCCCAAAGTTCGAAAATATAACAGTTCACAATTTGAATATTCAATAGAGATAGAATCCTCAATTTGTTTTAATTTCTAATAAAATGTATTAAATATATCTAAAAAAATCGTTAAGTTGTTTTCTTTCAACAATTTTTACAAATTTTAATAATTTTTCATTCAAAATTTTCAATTCCAAAATAAGTTTGACTTTGTGCATTTGTTTGTAACATGGAGAAGGAAGAGAGATAGACCCATAGTTACTTCTGAGGATTTCAATAGAATCACTTTCTGAGTTGATTTATGCATGTCAGTCCGTCTGTCCATGTATACTTGTGAACAAAATGCAGGTCGCATTTATTATCCGATTGAGATGAAATTTTCCAAACAACATTTGTTTGGCCCAAGGACGAACCCTATTGAAATTGGAGATAATCGGTAAACATTTAGATATAGCTCCCATATATATCTTCTGATTTGCCTTTTATTGTGCACCGAACGTGTAATATCAGCCCAAATAGTATGAAAATTTTGCACAAACGACCAAATTAGGCCTGAAAATAAGTATGCCAAATTTGATCGGTTTGATTTGATTGATTTGATTTGATCGGTTCAGATATAGTTATAGCTTCCATATATATTGCTTATCCGATTTGTTATTTTTGTCCTCCGCAGCCGTAATATGCACTCTGTAACAACAATATTTGGGGAAATATATCAAATGCAGCTCAGAAATATCTTTGCTAAATTTTATCGAGATCGGTTCAAATTTGGATATAGCTCCCATATATAACTTCGTCCGATTTACCTTTTATTGTACCCACAGGCGTAATATGCACTCCGTAACAACGATATTCAGGGAAATATATCAAATACAGCTCAAAAATATCTTTGCCAAATCTTATCGAGATCGGTTCAGATTTGGATATAGCTCCCATATATATCTTTATCCGATTTCAAATTAATTTTGCACCAAATGGGCAATACAAGTCCGAATTTAAAAGATACAATTGCTTCGGCATATTTAGTCCTTTGAACTTTAAATAATAATTATAATCATAGCGTGTATGATTAAATTCTCCCATAAAAACTTTTAATTGTTATGTGGAGCTCTACTAAATTAGCAAAGTGGTGTAGAGTATCATAAAGTCGGCTCTGTCGTGAGCTGTTACTCACTCTATGGATTGTAGACACAAACCATTTGCTCAAAATGCATCAAAGACAAGTAAAATGGTAAAGACTAGACAAAAACATCACTTTTTTATCTATCGGAAAGATGTAATAGCAAAGACCTAAAATCGAAAGACTAGACAAAATGCATTCTGACCAAATGGTTGGTGTCTATACTATCTAGATAACAGCTCATGACAGGACAATGTTAATATAAAAAACACATTTATAGAAAAAAATGACAAACAAAAGTTTGAAAAATTCAAAAATCGGGTTTCAAAATTATATTCTATAGACTTTCCCAATTATTGCATATTGCCTAAGCGGTTTTAATCGCTTAACATTGCTAACTATGTTGTTACGATATCATAACAACAGAAGTATTTTTACAGGGTTGCCATATCTTGACTCTGGCTTGTCCCATCTTTATACTTCTATGTCTTTGGTAATAGCCGGCCCATGTCTGTACAAGTATAAAGATAGAAAAATACAGAGTCCAAATGTGGCAACCCTGTGAAAACACCAATGTTATGCGATTTAAACGGCTTAGGCAATATGCAATTAATTTGGAAAGTCTTTGGAATAGAATTTTGAAACTCAATTTTTGGTTTTTTCAAACGTTTGTTTGCCATTTTTTCTATAAATCTGTTTTTTTATATGTCATGAACTGTTATCTAGATAGTATTGACACAAACCAATTGCTCAGAATGCATTTTGTCTAGTCTTTACCATTATAGGTCTTTGAACATAGTTCTCAATGTTATATTGATTTAAACTGCTAAAGCAATATGCAGTTTTTTAGGAAATGTTTATGGAATAGAATAGAATTTTGAAACCACATTTTTGGATTTTTCAAACTTTTATTTGTCATTCCTTTCTGTAATTTATAGTAACATCTGTCATGAGCTGTTACGTTATGTTTTGTGGACACAAACCATTTGCTCAAAATGCATTTTGTCTAGTCTTTAGCATTTTAGGTCTTTGGAAGAAGTTCCGGTGAAAAGTGGAGCTAAAATCACCAAAATACAGAATATAAGAATCCGATAATCCGAAATTTTCTTTCATTAGAGGTGTCATCCATTACGAACTCTAAATACCAAATTTGATGCAATTCCAATGAAAAATGTGAAACTCAAAATATCGAATATAGGGGGTTATATGAGGACTATACCTAAACATGGATTATGGGAATAAAAACTACCAATTTATTGCAAATTTTGTGGGAAATTTTGATCGAAACTGCCAAAACACCTTAAATCTGGCGTACAGTTATATGGGAACCATATCAAAATAAGGACCTATATGCCGCTCCTATATGCTCCACCTTGAAAAGGAGAGTATATTAACTTTGTCATTCCGTTTGTAACATCCCTAAATATTCGTCGTAGACCCCATAAAGTATATATATTCATGATCAGCATAAAATTCTAAGTCGATTTAACGATGTCCATCTGTCCGTTTGCCTGTTGAAATCATAATACAGTCCACATTATTTCACGCAGCTTCAAAATTTTTCAGAACAATTTGTACTGTGTCTAGGATGGTTGGTATTGAAAAGGAGATATGTCGGTCTACGTTTTGTTATAGCCGCCATACCTCCCGATATTCGGTATCTTGATGATTTTTACCAAAATTTTCCACGGATTTGTCTAAAAATTGGTATTTGTAATTCATAATGGGTTCTAGCTCCTGTGGCGAAACATTGCATGTATAAGTTTACGTTTTGTTGTTGCAAAATGGTCAGGCATAATCCCTTTATTGTTGTTTTTATAAAAACAACGTTTTTTTATTAGTAGCAAACGATGGCAATTTTTACCAGGGGGTAAGACCAATCCTCATCAGTTCGGTTTACGTTTTTGTATAGGGCTCCATATAACAGTACTTCCCGATATTTGGTATTTTGATGATTTTTGCAACATTTTTCCTCGAATTTGTCTAAGAATTGGTATTTGTAGTTCGTAATGGGTTGTAGCTTCTGGCGGAACATTTTGATATAGCCCCTATATAACGGCACCTCCCGATATTCCTTATTTTTATTATATTTACCATTTATTTTCACGGATTTGTCAAAAAATTGGTATTTGTGGCAGAACATTTAGTATTTAGGTCCACGTTTTTCTATAGCGCACATATAACGATTTCCGCCGATATTAGGCATTTTGATAATCCTAGTCACATTTACACACGAAATTGTTTCAAATTTGGTATTTTAGAAGATTTGGTAGATGACAACCCTTGAAGTATAGTCTAGTCCAAGGTAGATCTAACAGGTAACCGCATAGGCGAATTGCTACAACAAAGCAACTTTTGTGGTCCCCTCAAATGTCAAAATTGGCATCTAAGGCGAAAAAAATTAGATTCGCCATGACATTTGAAGGTTGCGGCAAATTTGTTTCAACCAATCAGAAACGAGGTGTTTGTTTACATTTTATTTTGTGTGCCTCTCGTCGTAAACGAACGTCGCAATAAATTTTTTATTGTAAAACAAATAAGAGTAAAATAAGTATTTATTGTAGTATTGCGATATTTTTTAAACCAAGAAACTTATAATGACTATCTTTTACTGGTTTAAACTGAAAGTTTTCCGGAAATGCAAATGACAAGAGTCGAATTCTTGCACTACTTCCCGTGATGTGCTTTGGGAATCTTAGATGTTGAGGCTAACTTAATTCTTAAAGCTGCACTCCATTCTAACCTCCTTCTTTCATTTTCTTTTATTTTTTTTACTGGTTTCACTCTTAACTTGCTCTTAAATTATTTGAAATATTATAAAAATGTACTTTTAGGGAAGACAACATAAACAAATTTGTTGTTGCGTTCATTTAGGGCGAATTCTTCATTACAACAATTTGTTTTGACATTTAATGGTGCCGTCAGCTGGGCTGATGCGATTACCTTGTACATCTACCTTGGTCTAGTCTATAATATGGCAACCCTGTGAAAATACGTCTGTTGTTACGATATCATAAACACATAGCTACAAATGTTAACTGATTTAAACCGCTGAGGCAATATGTAAATTTTTGGAAGGTCTAAATTTTAAGACCAAAATATTGAATTTTTCAAATTTTTAGTTATTCTTTTCTGTAATTGTGGTTTTTATAATAACATGTCTCTGCCATGAGCTGTTACTCTATGTATTGTAGACACAAACCATTTGCTCAAAATGCATTTTGTCTATTCTTTACCATTTTAGGACTTTGTCTTTACCATTTTAGGTCTTTGTATCAAAGACATAGAAGTATAAAGATGGGACAAGCCAGAGTCAAGATATGGCAACCCTGTAAAAATACTTCTGTTGTTATGATATCGTAACAACATAGTTAGCAATGTTAAGCGATTAAAACCGCTTAGGCAATATGCAATAATTGGGAAAGTCTATAGAATATAATTTTGAAACCCGATTTTTGAATTTTTCAAACTTTTGTTTGTCATTTTTTTCTATAAATGTGTTTTTTATATTAACATTGTCCTGTCATGAGCTGTTATCTAGATAGTATAGACAACAACCATTTGGTCAGAATGCATTTTGTCTAGTCTTTACCATTTTAGGTCTTTGTTTGTATAAGGTTCCCGTTTTGGTATGGCAACCATATAAAAGCTCCACCCCTTTATGGTTTTTTGAAAAGATTAACTGCATTATCCAAATAGTCTTACTGGTATTTGTAGTTTAAAGTGGAACACGTTTGAATTCAAATATTTTTATATAAAAATGTTTTCATTACTCAATGGTTGGGGTAGTATTAAAAGTTCGGCACGGCCGAACTTACTGTTTTTATACCCTACACCACATAGTGGTAAGGGTATTATGTCTTTGTGCATTTGTTTGTAACATGGAGAAGAAAGCGAGATAGACCCATAGTTATTTTTGAGGATCTCCATATAATCACTTTCTGAGTTGATTT